GGACGTGACAACCGTTACTTAAGGGCGATGATGATGTTTGTCCTGCCGGAAACCGAAGGGATTAATCATTTAACAGGAACTCGATTTGAGTAACTATTTAATGGATGCCTTTGGGGACACTCCCAGCCGTCCGTTGCATGCACAGTTTTCGGAGATAAAAGCGGTTGCCTAAGGACAAGTCGACTTGAGTTCCACATTTCTGGCATTGACATTGTCAACTAAACTGAGATAAAGGGTATCTTCATTAATAATAAAATTAATTAAATTAAATTTTAATAAAATGCTTTCCTTCTTGCTCTTATAATATATATTTGAATTCCTAGAATGTACAATTTTGTTTGGGCTTCAATGACATGTTGTTACGTGGGTTAATTGGACATTTTTTTATTATGAGTGTGCGTTTTTAGTTGGGTGAAAACCACAACTATGCACTTCAAAGCCTGTCACAAACCGCAACTAACAACATCACCTGCCACAACCGCACAACAAAATCATGGCATGCCGTTGTGGATTGCCTTTCATAAGAACATATAACAAGCTAAAAGAATGACAAGCTCAGGGAATTACTTCTATTGAACAAGCACTATCTATCTGCGACAAGGAAGAAACAATTTCAAATAGGAAACGAACCAGAAATTTTTAAGCTCTCTACACAATGTAATGCGATGATTGGCCATTCATCAAAGAGTGTGTTGTGCAAATTAAGTTGTTATGTTATTATTCCATATGTGGTCCCATGAAAAGTTAATGAATGTATAAACATTTCAAAGCCCAATTAATATAGTTTAATTTGTCAAGTAAGTTTCCACATAACTTATGATAAGGTTACCAAAAAGATAATTTCTTTGATGAGGCATTCATTTTGATGTATGTATAATTGGTGGCAAGAAGGAAAGGACTATTTGTTTGATTCAAATGAGGACAGCTTTTCAATGGGTTATTTCTGATATCTGTTCCCAATTCATCTTCGTAGCTATGATACGTTTCAGGCAGGAAGCCTTTGAATGCCGATTTCTATTGCAGAGTATTTTTAGGTCGGAGCCCTACACTCGGAAGCACCCTTGACTTATTTGACCTGTGTGCGGGAATGGGCAGGGGCTTTGTGCCGGTCCACAAGTCGCACCACACTTGACATTACCAGCATGTGACTCCATGTTGACAGTGGTTTTCATGTCGTGTATCTTTATGTCTATTTACTTGTACTTGTCCCGTGCGCCTAAGTATCTTTGTATCTCTCCGTGCGGGCTGTTACATTACGGTTACGGGTTACGGTTTACAGTTTACTGCCGCTTCTGCTGCTTGACCCACTAAGGCCAGATTACGTGATTTGTCCCGTGTACGCCGGAAGTGAATCCGTAGAGACGGAGACGGAGCCGGAGATGGAGACGGATGCAGATGCGGATACGGAGACTGCCACTGGAGCTGCATACGGCGACATCAACGTTGCGATAAGCAGTGGCGGCGAAAATTTCAAAGGGCATAAAAATTTAAATCACGTCACTTAGGGCGAGCGAGAGCGACTGCGACTGGGACAACACAAAAGACGCAGCTACGAGTCCGGACATAATGGGGTGCCATGTAAATAGTTGGCCCAGACGGAGGCGCACGGTTTAGTGTCCGTGTCCGTTCCCATGTCCGGAGCCGGGATTTGAGCCCGCAGCACTTGGAAAAAGTTTATTAGAGAGTTTTTAGAATCGTTTTGTCAAATCGATTAAGGAGATATATCGTAAACATAAATGGAAAACAATTTAATGGGAAACGATGGATGCATTTTGAATGATTTTTGAGCTGAATAACAGCTCGAAATTATATTCAAACTAGCTAAAAAAAATTTAGATTAATACTCACAACAAGGACTTGGGTTAAATGCTGGGAAAATCGAATACATTCTTTGAGTGCATGCTGCTTTGTGGGTGTGCGAGTGTGTGTTGGTTAAGCCGCTTTTGAGGCAGGCACTCAGGCACAGGCACATCCAATTCCACACTCACAGGAACACCCATAGTCGGCGTCGTCACAGGACTCGTTTGCATGTGTGTGTTTGTCTCCGCTCCTTTGTGAGCGTAAGCGTGTGTGAGTGCCATGTTGCTGAGGCGCGGCAAAATGCTTGTTACGCTTTTGAGCCACCGCCTGCGGTTGACAGAGCACGTTGGACCACCCCAGCCCGTTCAGAGGAAGCCCACTCAGCCACCTGGCCACCCAGCCATTGCAGCCGCCCACCACCATCCAAACAGGCTGCCGCTCTGTGGCCTGCTGCACATTAAAACGCAATTAAAGTTGCAGGCGTTAATTGTGGCGCCTCTTTTGCCTTATTATTGCGTTTTTTTCCCTGCACTTTCTTCGGCGCCTTTTGCCGTTTTGAGTTAGTTGCCAAAAATTAATTACTTTTGCCCTGTCAAAGTTGCCCAAGTCATTGCAAAAAAGAGTGCGGCGCAGATATGGCTGAAGTGAAAAGAAATGTGTGCTGAATCGAAACACGTGTGTTCCGGAAATCGTTTTAATAAGAATTTATAAAAGATTTTTGAATTGTTTTAATTATTTTCAATTGCAACTATTCAACTATTTAAAACTTAATAGACTTTTTTCTGTTATAAAAAGATAATGTAACAGATTACTGTTGACCTAAAATGTCATGCTTTTATAATAAAACTAACAAAAATATTTTTTAAATATTCTGTTTGTAATTTAATTAAAAAAGGTAATGTTTTTGGAAAGTCCAAGTTTCTTATAATTTTATCCTCCATAATCTAAATATTTAATTTAAATTCAAATTTACCGTTTTCCCATTCGTTGATTCATTTTCGAAAGTAACTCCATTTCCAGAGAGTTCCGTTTTTTGGGAACATACGCTTCTGAATGTCTACTAATGAATCATGTCCATGAATAAAGCCACGAGCGGGTCTCAGACTTTTTTTGTGGCCTTTGCTCTGCTATAAGTTTGGGCGGGTGTGGGCGTTAGTTAAAATAAGTGGGCGTGCCAGAGGGCTGTCGGTGCTAATGGGGTCACACACACCCACCAGACACATAGAGTCGTCGGTTACTTTTGCTCGAACTGTTTCTTTCGCCAGTTGTGCAGTTAAATCCGTTTGCCAGGCGACTTTATCTTTCAGCACAGATTCTCAATAGCAGCTGTTGTTTTTTCCTCCGCTGACGTTGCATGCTGCAAGCGCTGTTTATTTCGCAGCTTTCTCTCATTCTTTTGTATTTGTTTTCACTCCGTTTTTCCTCAATTTTCTTTTTTTTTTCGCCGTTGCTCTTCCAGAGCGTTTGCAGCTGTCGGGAGGTTTGGCTTAAGCGCCAGGCGCTAGCGACGTGCCGCTGAAATAATTAAGTTGCCAATTCCGGCAAACAGAATATCAACTGCGAGGCAGAGACAGGCCGAGATAGGGGGGAGGTGGGCGGAGTGGGAGGGCTTACATTTAGTGGCATAGATTTTCAATTAGGCTGCCAAGCCGCGCGCAGCTGGCGTTGCTTTTCTTGATGCTCTTTGTTTTTCACTCGAAAACTTTATTTTTTCAGCTCAAAAGTCAGACGTTTTAAACGGAGGCAAAAAAGCCCAATTCTCATTATCTTTGCAATCTCTGTTAAGCTTGGCCGACCTAAAAATTGGTAATCTCTCGCCTTCCCAACGTATGCGTAATATCCGGGAATGGCCCCGGGCATTGGACCACAAATAGAGAGCAAACAGACACAATCCACAGGCACACAGACACACAGCCACACAACTTGTCGAACATTTCAGCTGGAAGGAATTGGGAGACATTTCTCGAACATTACGCATACGCACGGTTGGCAGCCACAACATTGGAAAGCAACTGGGGCGTTTTCTATGCATTAGCTTCCGAGTCGCTCCTTTGGCGCCTGCTAAGCCGAAAGGAAAAGTGAAAATTGCTGCATTTTCCAGCAGCAAACACGCCCAGTTGACATTCTTTTGTCACAGCCTTGTTTGGCCTTGTCTCAAGATGAGGTGGCTCGATCATTAGCATCAAAGTCATTGCGGAGTTTCGACAAATTGCAGCGAAGACTGAACAAACTGTTTGTTTATAATTAAATTAATTTAGATGATTAATATTTATAAATTTCTAAAAGTTATGATCCATGTATAATGCTAAGATTTCAACAGAAGGAAACAGAGAAAGTTGCTTTACTTTAAATATTATTTCTTAACAACTCTATAGTCCATTTGAGAGTCCTTAACAAAATTATACAAATTATCTAATATACATTTTGTTTTGTTTAGATAATATAAATATTTTCTCACTACAATCCTTAACCTTTAAGTAAAAGCAAACAAATTTTGCCCAGTGCTCAGCGAATCCAATTGCGGATTGAGACAGACCTGCGTCTGTCGCTCTTCCAAAAAAAGAAGTCAAAAAGCAACTGGGTCGACCGGGTGCAATGCAATTTGAACAAAGGCTACGGAGGAACTAAGTTGCGGCGACATGTAGCTTTTAAAGTTGTGGCAGGCGAGCGAAGCCGAATGAATACCAAATCAATCGATACGCTAGTGGGAAATCGAAGTTAGCTGGCATCAGCAAGGCAGACATTTTTCTGCTTCGTTGACCCAGAGAGCGGAAAAGCAATTTCGGTCTGTGCCACCTCAAGGAGCTGGCACACCGCCTCCCCCGCACTTTCACTAGGCCAAACGATTTGCAAATTTTACCAACGCATCACTGGGTATTGCTCACAACCAATCGAGGGCATTAGCCGGGCGGAAAAAAAAAATGTATATAAAAAAACGTCTTAACCAAATACGAAGCAAATGCTCAATTTTTAAGTCAATCAACTAGAAAAAGTTGCACTCGGTGCGCAAATCCGATGCGTATAAAGATCCGGGGTCTGGAATGCCGGGAACTTAGCCCAAAGTTTTTACAACACGGAATTAAGCGATTAGATGGAAGTTTGCAAGCATAAATTATTCCTAGTTTCCGCTTCTGTCGACCACAGACTTGAACACTTGTAAAAAATATCAAATAACATCAGTGAAAGTTGTTAAGCATCAATGAAAAATTAAAAAGACTATCAGTTTAAAGTCTGAGTATGCTATCTGATTTTAATCCCTACTTGTTAATCGTCCATGAAAATCAGTAAGAATTTGTTCCCTGTGCAGTTTCAAGACGTTTTTCAGAATGAAGGCACATTCAACAGCCGTTGCCATCAGAGATATTGAGCTGGATTTAGACAACGAATCGGAGAACGGCGCAGAAGACGTCAATTCGCAAGTGGGTCAGCGGAATAAGGTGTGGGAGAAGCTGCGATGCCTGCAGACGGATCATGTGTGGATCCGGGAGGAGCTGATGCACCTGCATCGCCGCATGGTGACACAGTGGCTGGCCGTACAGCGACGCGCTTACCAGAGCATGGTGCAGATGGAGCAGCTCCTGTGTCGGCTTCAGGTGAAATATGGCCGCGACTGGGGCCAGTAGAAGAGATACACGGCAGTTGGGGCTCGAATTCCGGGAGCAGGGCAGCCTCTGGTATCAACACTTCAAGGCGGGCGGCTAATGTGTCGAGTGATTCAAGAGGCTCAAAATGCAAAATTACATGTGTCAGGGGTGACTGGGAGTACTTAAGCCATTCCAGCTTGTTGTGAGAAGTTAAATACACGAAAGTTGATGAATTGAATTTTTCATGGAGCCCTTAAACTCGGTTGCGTTAACTTAACACAGCCGGAATTTTGCTGAATAATTTATTTGTGAATGTTTGTATGATGAGAATATGATTGAATTTTAAAATTAAAGAAGCCTCTTAAGTCATATAAAAGGGGTGGAAATATGGGAATTGCAAAAATAACATTTAGAGCTAAGCCTAAATTTAACTTCGTGATTACTTCATTTTAGTTAAATATTTTCATTAATTTATGGGGATAGGGATATAGGGTTTCCTAATTTCTGTCATATTAAATTGATTATAACAAATTTACTATTTAAACCGATCTTCATTGCTTTGAATTTTGTTTCCATCATAATTTAAATAAACCCTGCGAATAATAGGAAATTAATTAATCTTCAAAACCAAATATTGTCAATTACGTGGGCAACACTTTCTTAATTGGTAAACAGCCCTTTGCATCATTGATATACCATATACCCACATTATACACATAAATCTGTGTGTATGTAGGGAAGGCCCAGTGGCTTGCATGTCATGCGATTAATTTTCACACAACGTATACCATATAGACCTCATAACCCGGAGCCAATCAAAGATTGCCTTGAATTCCGCCGGAATGCGTAACTCAATTAGTCGGACACCAGACTGGTCGAGGTCGAGGGCAGCACTTAGCTCAGGATTAACCCCTGACTGACAATGTCCCTCATGCAACCCGAATGCCCCTTGTTGCCGGGAACGATGCACTCACCAGCCACTTACACGGGCCCATCGCTGTTTAGCAACTATTTATGAAGACAAGTAGTTGCCAGTTGCCAACTACAAACTTACACTGCAGGTGAAGAAATTACTAAAATATGAGGTAAAATGTATTAAAATTAATGCAATTTATGAAATGTAAATGTAGGTATATGAAATCATAAAATATATTCAGTATCAGTTTGTTTTTGGGACTTGAAATGGGACCCTATTGTCGATTATTCACAAAGAATGCTGCTTAATGATCCTTAAAATGTAATAACAATTTAAATTTAAAATGTTTAATGTTTAAATATACTATTTAGTTTAAATATTTGCAGAATTCTCCTACTAATTTCTGTCTCTGTATTGCAGCTTCAGTGGAGTCGAGTAGAGGTCCACACGTGTTGGCAGTGCACTGATATGCCTTCTGAACCGTGTCTGCTTTGTTCTGTTCACTTCTGGCCTCGAGTGTCCTCGCCTGTGGATGACACCCAGCGTGTTATCATTAAACACTCGGAAGGCGTGGGGGAACAGGGGATACAGCGGTTGAATGGGTCAACTGACAACACTTGAGTGGACCATAAACGGCAACAAATGCAAATGCAAATGAAATTATTGCAGCCGCAGCTCCATTTCTCTGAATGACTGAATGTCCCTGCCGATCCCTGCTGGGAAACTGTTTGCATATGCAGGGACACACCGCAGATAGGTCACGCCCACTCCAACGCCCGTGGGAACGCCCATCGAACGGCAGAGCTACGACCCATAAAGCTATTGGCGACCGACTGCATTTCAGCGATATAAATATTTATATAAGTTAATCGGTTTATGGTGCACGAGTAATTGAATTTCGCGACGGCGCCAGGTAAATGTAACCAGGTAGCCTGTAACATGTAGTACCACACTCCTTCCTCTCTTCCCTTATCCCTTTACCCACCCCTTTACCATTTTCGGGACAAGCGGTAGAGCCAATGTTGCAAAACGGGACGCTTTAAACTTGATTTCTTACTTCGCGCATCCGTTTCCGCCAGGACATGCAGCGCCAGAGAACAAAGGGGATTGATTCGGGGTATACCGAATATTGTTTCAGCTCTTTTTATCTTTTTTTATAACACAAGTTATAAAAGAAGTATAATAATAAGATTAATGCCTATATTAATTATTAAACAATAACATGTTCTTTTTGTTTAAACATAAAAACACTGATTAAATTAATTTAATTAGAAATAAACAAAGGAACATGTTACCCTTTAAGCTCTTTCAACATTTGTTTTGTATTTTATTTTGTAAATCACAAACAGGTTTATCTTACATTACTATTCAATTAGGTAATTACTAAGTTGTATTTTTAATCTGAATACAAAAATGAAACAAAGGACTCATGTCACTATACCTAAATAGTGCGCAAACAATGAGTTTAATACCCGTTTGCCCGCCTGTTCTAAAACCTATAGCATACTTTTGCCAGTTAACCCAATTAGTGTAATCTCCAGGGTTAACCCGAGAAGGGCATGCCTGGCCCACATAGCTGTGTAGAGTATCGGGTTACCCTTTAGCCCCTCTTGGCACTCCCCTTCCTCGGCAGGGAATATAGCATGCTCCAACATGGCGCCAACCGGAAGTGCCAGCTCGTACTGCAATGGCCGACGCGTTGCCCGTTTCTATGGCACTTCCGCTTTACTGCACATTAATTGCAATTAAATTTGGCATTACTCCTCCTCCCCCAAATCCTCACTCCTCCTCCTCCACCACTCTTGCCCGTTTCCTCGTCCCCCATGTTTTCATCTCTCCGCTGGCCCACGCAAATTTAATGATGGCTGCAATTTTTGCACGCTGCATTTTCCTATTCTTTGCATAATTTAAAGTTGTTTGCTTTGGCTGCTGTTGCATTACGGCTGGCGGCGGGGTGGGCCGAATAGGGGGTGTGTCAGGCCCGCATTTGATGGTGGCGCTGCTTCTGCTGCACTGCCTCGGATATTGTTGTTTTCAATTAACTGCGCGTCTAGCTAAATGGCAAGTAAATTAATGTTTATAGTGCATAAATATGCAATTTATATGCGCCACCACCCCCTATGGGTGTGTGTGTGTGTGGGTGTGTGGGTGTAATGACGTCACAGTGTTCAGACTTTGATGGCGCCATGTTTTGGCTGTATTGAGCGTAAAGTTTATTAAGTTAACAATGTTTAATATATTAAGAGGGTTGCTTTGGCCTCTTTTGGTAACGCCTCGTGCTGTAAATTAATAAACTTTAATTGCGGATCCGTGCTTGCGAGAATTTCCTATATTTTATGGTAAAACATTTATGGCCGGACCTGCAGCAACTGGCGGAACAGCAGTCAGGCATCCAGCAAGGACACGAAGGCACCATCTTGTGGTGGCCCTGCTTCAAGTCACATACACAGAGAAAAAAAGTACTATTCTATATTATTACTATTCAAACTTTCCATTTAAATCTCAGGAATTTGACTTGAATTGAAATTGACAAACGTTGAGTTTACTTTATTTTTGTTAATCGAATTTTTAAGGATATGAATTTGTATTTATTGTTCTTTGAAGTAATTTTAGTGCTCTCATATTGTGTCCAAAATTCTAGGCCTTAGTGGTTTTCCTTATATTAATTATGTTCTAAGCTTATAACTATAGTTTTTACTTATGTTGTTCACAAGAAAACACACACTTTTCAAGGAATCTTAATTTTTTTTTATCCTTTTCTGTGTATTTCTTGTGGTGTTGTTGTGTCGGTGCCAAAACTTTAATTGCCTTTCGGGCCAAAAACTTTAGCTGAATCTGTGCTGCTATGCATTTTGTTAACATTTCCGGTGACTTCTCGCTGGTGACGTCCTGCCGCCTGCCGCCTGTCGCCTTCCATCCGACCCGCTCACCCCGATCCGATCCGCGTCGGAGGCCCGTAACTGTTGTCCCCCGGTTTGTATGCCCTTTTAATTGCCCATTGAAAGTTGTTCACTTGTTAAAGTGAACTTTGGTCCTGCCAAGTTGTTCGGAGCGAAGTGGAAGTGTAAGCAAGAAGCGTGAAACTATGTGTTATGCAATTAAAAGTGCAGGCAGAGGCGGAGGCGCTGCACAAAATCGATACAGATATTCAATTGGCCGACAGCAAGCCAATTTGCCGCAACTTATTTAAGGATCAAGTGCTCCGTGGGGGAAACTCTGGTGGGAAAGTTGAGTGGGAAGCTCGGGCGACCGCAGCTGCAGCTGCTGGTAATGAGTTTTCCATACATGCGAGATGGCGAAGACAGATCCCTCGACTAAACAATATGTGACAGCTGTAGACAGATATCACTCCATGACCCTGGCTGTACCGTACAGTCCCCAGTCTCTGTGTCCGTCCCATTGAGGATAGCGGAGGGAAAGAAAATTATTATGTTGCATATGGTTACGGGATGGCCAAAGGACTATAAGGGTTACACTTCAAGAAAGTCTATCAAATGCAAATAACCAAAAGTTCTATTCGTTTCTGAAGATGTTGGCCTTTTTCCCCAGTGCAGATCTATATCTGGGGAATTTTATTCCTCGCTTTGTCCTGCTTTGTTTTCCCTCCTGCGATGTCTACTGCTGGTGACTGGCATGGCAGCAACAATATATTTTTCTGATTTTCCACTTGCATTATCACGTCTAAAAACTGTCTACCATTAAAACATGTGTATTGTGTGCATTGTCTGGACAAAGGGGCACTTTCAGTTTGTCTAGTCAGTGGTCGGGGGGAGGGAGTCGAGGGGAACTGGAGGAAATTCAGGCAATATATAAACATAATTTAAGGGCAAAATGAGGAGGGAAACGCCCGAATAGTTGCCATGGAGCAGCGTATAAATTATGAGTGCTCGGGGGAAGGACTCGAAGGACTCACATGACTTGCTGGAAGATATGTGGCAAAATTCGCCAAAGCTGGTAAGGTAGAGCAAACACTGTAATTTGGTAAACAAATACAATTTCAGAGTCAATTTCAGAAGGGCCGAGGCGTGCTTTAAAGGTGCACCGAACCCTGAAATACTCTTGGTAAAAGAAGAAATATCAAGTATACGTATACACGACTTGTGAGGAAGTAAATGCCAGAATTTGATTTACCATTTGCGACCCCAGATTGCGGTCTATGGTGAAAAATAACTTTATTGTGTTGATCTCTCATCGGTTAGTAATTTAGTTTGGCCCAAAAATTCTTTATTTAGATTAAAATCTCTCTCTATTGTTGAGGCCAAGTTAAAAGTGCAATAATGTTCTTATAGGTGCTTAAGACTTTCAGTACACAACCAATTTAAGATTGAATAAAAGGCATTTTTCGGGGCAACATGCAAAAGTAAATTTTGAACAAAATACATATCGGCCTTAATAAACCATTTCCAACTGATTTGCTCTTCCTTTGTTGTTTCCCAACCCCATTGTTGGGCAGTAAATTTTACAGATTTTTGATTTTTAAGATTTTAAGACTACTTTAAGGTTTAGTTAAGGCCAAGTTAATTTAGTTTGTATTTGAAAAAAATTGTATTGTTAAATGTTAAAATTTTTATTCACTTGCTGATCGTTCCTATGAGGGCAATAAAGTATTTTGATTGTGTTAAAAAGATGGGTTTTTAATGAAACAAAACAATAATAGTCAATGTTAAAAGCGTGTATTTGCCTCAAAACATCTGCTTTTATATTATTTAATAGTATTGTCTTTTTTTATAGTTTTAAATACATACATCTGTGGTTCTGTCAACGTGGTGAATGAAGCTTAAATTAGGGTCTGTTAAACCTACCGAAGTTGACATCTTAACGTGCATCTACATTATTATCACCCATCCGCCGCCCACTCCCATTGACGGGTGCCATTAATTAAGTCTCCGATCCTGTGCGTTCAGATAAGATGGAGATGCAGTTGGGTCGCGTGGGAAGCTGCAATTGCCGTACACCCAACCCCAAGCCCAAACTCACCCACTTGCTAGACCCCAGCCCCTTTGGTCGTGCAATTGACTTAATAATTGGCCCCAAACATTTTAATGAGCGTCGGCTTGTCAGCGTCACGTTTTCCGGAACGGGACGGAGACGAGGGGACCAGAGAGCCGGCGAGCCGGAGAGTCAACGCAAAATATTAGCAAGAAATGGCTGTGGCATAATTAAGATTATGTCGGAATACGAGGATCCGGGGGGAGACCAAGGAGCCTTGCCAGCGGATATAGTGTCAGCTGAGTGAGGCGGAAATTTGAATGCCAAGGCGTGTGCTAATGTTAATATGATATGCAGGCGGATGTACATACATATCCACTCGGCTCCATTAAATTCCAATGCACAAACACTGAGCGTGCGACGTGTGTGTGTAGGTGTGGCCTGCCAGGTGACAGATGCACCAAGTTTCCCCACGCCCCCGTGGTTTCCCTAAAGCCAATGGGTATGCTTGTGTGTATTAACACCTGACTGAGAATGCCATCTCACAGGAGCTCCGCTCTAGGCACGTCTGGCGGCCTTTCACACGCCTGTCAAACGACGCTCCGTCTTGGCTGTGATGTCCTTTCCACCCCCTTCTTGGCCACCCTCAGCTCACTCGAATGCACTAAGCGAAATAAATAACAGAAGCCTTTTTAAAATGGAAGAAATTTACGCAATTCTGATAAAACTGCGACAAATAAATTAAATTTTTTTTAATTATTAAGGAAACTACTTTTTGGAGGTATACATTTCAAAAGGCCCTAATTGAAATAATAAAATATCATTTAGTATTTACCCATTTAAATTCTGGCATTAAAAACAAAATTTTCCAACTTTTGTTTAAAATATTAGCCAAAATAGAAACAATTTCTGTGAGTGACATTTCGTTCGTGCGGCTGCTGCACGTAATGACATGCGGCTGCCAATGTTGTGGACGCGCATTGAGCCCCTTGCAGCTCCATCGCCATCGCTGAGGATCTCCATCTCCAGGGCCTTGCATAATTTATACAACCACGGAAGCCGCCAAAAAACCGCAAATCTCGCAGCGCCTCGTTGCACACACAAGGCGACAGCGGTGGCCACCAGCAACATCGCATAGCAGCGCCAACAGCAACATCAGCGAATGCTTCAGATGCCATGTGGCAGCTTGAGGGAGCGCTTAAAGTAGCCATTGGTATTGATGGTTTTCCCCATTTATTGCGAAAATCATTCGATAATGGATGGCTGCGGCTTGTCAATGATTTTGGTCGAGCGCCGAACGTTGCCAAGGAATTTTCGGGTGAGTATTTGTGCGCTATTGAAGCGTGCATTCCAAATCTAAGGCAAATATGTAGATTTAGCTTTAAGCAAAATGAGAGCATAAGATCTAAACATTTGTGAATTCTATAATCAGAACTTAAATTTACAATTTTCTTAGTTAGAAATACTTTGATATGTTTAAACATTGAGTAAACATCAAATTGTAAAATGACTTCTACACTTCTTTTTATTTATAAAGATTAATAATATTATGTACAAAATATATAAACGTATGTCTGTATAAATAGAAATTATTTCTAAATTGAATGTGTTTTGAATTCAATGTACTTGAATCCTGTTCAGCACAAAAAGCGTGTACAAAGAGGCTTTTCTTAAGCACCGAATGGCAAATAAAGCCTGCCACGGGGTCTGCCTTTGGTTATATATCAAAATCAAAAACCATATCTACCTTTTGGAACTTTACCTTTACTTTTTTAGAGTTTCAGTTCTGAAAAGGTTTTGGGCACTCGGTTGCCCAATTCCTCTCTGAGTTTTGTGGCCATGTTCAGTTCATCGGCAATGATCAAGTATTGTCCATAAGGCAGCGATGCCAGCGATACCTCATCAGCCAATTCAAACTTCCTGGGGAATCCAGGAGCCTGAGGCCACTTGGCCAACTCCAGCTCCAAAGTCCATCTCGCAGCCAAGTCCTTGTAGTAGCCTTCTCTCAGGGCATCTACCTTCTCCAGCTTGCCCAGGTGCTCCAAATTCTTCGCGTGGTTTGCTGAAACGTCAATAGCTCGCATTAGAAGGGCGCTGGTTAGAAGGGTCCACTTGCTGTCCGGTTCATATTCCAGCAGATCCAGGCACGATTGCAGTTGCGTTTTCAGCTCTGAGAGTAGCTCCTGGCTGCAACTGGCGGCGGCATGCGGGGGCGCAAAGTAGAAGGCTCCATCCTCGGTACCCGGAAGAGGGAGGAGATTCAACTCCTGGTCGGTTAGCTTAAGGGTGTATGTTGAGTTCTTTTGGTAGTCAAAGGGTAACTGGCATTTCCAGGTGGTTCTGCCACTGTCCACTGGCAGCCAGGGTGACAGCGTCACCTTTTGCTCACCGGCCACCAGTTCGATGTTGAGCTCACCCAGGTCTGGAGTGGGTTTATCCAAGGCAAGCACGGCTCCCTTGGACTGCAGCCGAAAAGCAGCTACTTTGGGAGCCCTATCCAACTGGGCGCCACTGCCCAGCAGCCATCTCTGATAGAACCAGGCACTGCTGTCATTGGGATCCGTAAAGGCGGCCGTGAGGACCATTTCCAGCTCCTGCTTCAGTTTCTCTTCGCTCATGGGCCGATCCCTCTGCTCGTTGGGATAGAGTTCCGGCAGCAGCAGACTCCGGTGATGCCAGCTGGAGTAGTTGGAGAAGTTCACCTTGATCTTCTCAGTGCAGAAGTCCAGCTCCTGCGCAGCTGGCACTCCGGCCTTTTCTGTCACATAGCGCCTGTAGTCCCAGGTGTGGAAGTTGCGCTCATCGAACTTGAGGTACTTGTTGCACAGATGCAGCTCCCGCTGCCAGTCCGCCAGGGGATTCTGCTCCAGCGTCCAGCAGCGATGGTGCCAGGCGTTGTACGACTTGGGATTGACCATCAGGCACTGCTCGGTGAGGTCCAGTTCACATCTGAACACGGATTGGGCTCTATCTTCCGGCTGGGGTGCCGCCTCCTTTTCGTTCTTCTCCTCCGGCTGCTCTTGATCCCCTGCTGGTTCTGGCTGCTGTGGCTCAGCCTCCTTGGACAGCTTGGAGAGCTTCTCCAGCACACACTCCCTGCGAATGTTCCACAGCGTGGTAACGTCCGGATTTCGCTGCAGGATCTGCACAGTCAGACTGAGCATTTCGTCGTCCAGCTCGCCCGCCGCCCGCTTCGCTTGAATTCTTCCCATGGCGGCGCGGTAGGCCCGCACCTTCAGAGCCTGCTCCTTCCGCTTGCGCTCCCGCTCCTCCTCCGTGGTCCGTACCTTCACGCGTCCGTGCATCTTGTTTTCCTATTTAAAGGCAGTTGAAATTTCCAATTTCTTCACAATCGAAATTATTAGTCAGCGACAGCTGTTCGGGAGAAGTGTGGCCATTGCAGTTTGGGAAAAAAACCATAAAATTTGTTGCAATGTGTATTTTGTCCGGTCTTATTAGTACAAATTGTCCTAAAATTATTCCACTTTTTCCTCGTATATACTGTTATAAAATGGTTAAAAACTTGAATTGGCCGCAACTAGTTTTCACACCCAGGTTTGCGCCTATGCTCTTTAATATATTTCACAACCTGGCAACGCTGATTTAAATATAATATTTAACAGCCTGGCAACGCTAGATTTAATTAAACGTTTTAATTTAAACCTAAAATAATAGCATACGTAAATTTCTTTAATTCTTTTTACAGACTTAAAAAAAATATTAAATTCTTTAAATGGATATTTTCCCATATTTTTATATGATGATTTTTTGGACAAATCAATGCTTAAAACAACCATAACTTGGTCAAAAAAGCATCAAATTCAATTCGGAAAGCATTCCTATGCTGGCCGTTTGTAGTTTAACAAAACCGCATACTAATTTTCAAATTTTAAGAAATCAATATTTTAGCCAATTTTTGATAATTTTAATGATGTAACCCCTTATCAAATTTTGAAAAATATGGTAAAATTTTTTTTTCTTCCGACAAGGCTACAAAGACTCGTCTGTTTATGCTGATCAAGAATATATATAGGGATTATGGGGTCGGAAACGACTCCTTCTTTGACTAAAATTATAATACCCTTCATAAATTTGTAATTTTTTTAGAGAATTTTAACAAATATTGGATGATTTAATTTCTTCCCAACTTGGCTGTAAAAACGCGCTTGTTGCTGATAAAAAATTATAAAATATTGGGATTATAATAATAGTATTTATCATTCACTGCGTTACTAGCATCTGACTGAAATTATAATACCCAGCAATGGTATAAATATTTTCTATATAGACCTTTGAAGCAAGTTGCTACCTTTATATACATCTCTTATAGTCGCTATAGCCATCGAATTTCAAAAGGAAATTTCGAATTAATTTTAGATCCATTTTACGGCTGTCAGAACCGGATGCTAAATGAATTCCCCGAACATCTGAGGACAGGCACGGCTCGCATAATTAAGCCCAAAAAGTTTGTGCTGCATAATTCCGGCGAATAATCCAATTTTGAGTTGTTCCCGCATAAATCAGAGTCCTGAATTCATATATATTTATAAAATCCTGCTGATCCCGTCGCCTCGTATGTCCTTTGTTTTGCAGTCGAGTCCAGGCGGACATGGTCTGGTTGCCCTGACCCCTGATCCCCTCGGATCTCGCACACGAGAAGGGAACGAATCAACCCTGTCCGCCGAGATTCCTCCGACCTTCACTTTAAATCGCCGCCTTTGTTTGGCGTTGTCACAAAAGTAGAAATCTCGCTTCATTGCCGCAGCTACTTGAATTCAAGCAGCCGCTCGTCCTGCAGACAACACCCCTCCAGGCTTCCAGGCTTCCTGACCTGTTGGCCAGATTAGGAGCGAACCCGAACCCGCATCCCAGTCCGTGCCCACACAAGGACCGCATTTGAGACGCGCAAAATCAGTCATAATATTTCAAATTTCATAAATTGATGCGTATCACATTAGGAGCGACGGCAGGAGCCGCAGACTAACGGTAACGATGCCAGGACCTGCCACGCCCCCGCTCCCAGCCCTGCTCGGTCGTGAATCCACCCTCGGGAACTGACTTTGATAAACGCGTTTTCGGTGGAGGGGGCGGCCATACGCCCACCCACATTTAAACGCGTTGCGCAAATTTGCTGTTAAATAAAAAACGTCTGAGAAAAACGAAAATAAAAATGAAATCTTTATATACTTGCAGTGAGAAAAACTACAAGGATGTGGGTTTTCTTAAAACCTTTTACCTCGAAGTTGTGTAAGTAACAAGGAAACTATTTATATATTTGTGAAACCTAACTTAAAATGTAATTTAAGTAACACTTTTCTTGTGAAAATATTTATTTTATTATTGGTTTGTATCAATAGGGAAAATCCTTAGTATTCTGATTTTCAATTTATTTTTCGGCAGTGCACTTCTTTATATAGGTGGGCGGGCATGTACATTTTCTTTGATTTTGCTGCACGATTGATTTTCCCGCTCCAAGACATCGCCTTCGCCTTCGCCATCGCCTTTGCCTTGCAGAGTCCTTTTCATTCGCACCTGCTGCTGCTCCTTCTGTTCCTGCTGCCGCTCGAATGGTTCCCCGACGAGTTGGTCCGGCTCTTGTCTATCCCTTGAAATCGAAGGCCCTGCCCATTTATGGGATATCCCAGCTCGAGTCCAGCCTCGGAGTCGCTCCTTTTATTTTATTTCCTCTTTGCACAGCCATAAAACAATAAAGGAGATTTTTGTTGTATTCTTATTCGTATGCCAACTTCGAGGCACTCTCGCCGGAGAAATGCTTTTCTAATTAAATTTTATGACTTGCCTGATGAAGTTTCGGATGGCTCTTCGTGATTGGGATTGAACTATTGATTGGTCACGAATGGGAAATAGCCCGCGGCGTCCGGACGGAGATCTCTGAGGGGATGATCCTTCGGAGAAGTTGGGAAAGAAAGTTGCGCAATGACGGCTGCACTTTAAATTATACTTTATCAATGGGTCTTCAACTCTGAGCCGTAGTTTCTATAGGAAATGAAATGTTTCTGCATCATAGAATCGAAGATTTGTGATATTAAAGAACAATGTTAACAATGGGAAATGAAGCAAAGAAAATCTTGGCATAAAAGACATAGAAACTATTTCTGAATTCATGTAAATTTCATAGATTATGTTGAAATTTCATATTAATTTGACATTTATTCTAAAAAATCCACTTTTAAGTTATATTTTCTACAATTGTACATAATAATTCGAATAATTTATTATCTAACCTAAACCCCCGGTAATTGCTGATTAAGGCAGTAATACGCAGGGTGATCGAAACACAATATCTGGGGGTTAGGAAGCTCTTCTAGGATTTTCTTGTTTTAATTTGGCCTCCTTGAAATGCCATTAACTTGGCCACTTTCATTTCTACGTGCTGTCAAACTGCAAGTGTTGCCATCGCATTTTGGTAATCCAAGTAGACCTCAGCGAAATTCAGTGGTTTCTCTTGGCCAACCTTCCGCCCCACCGACCCCCTCATTTCCATTTATCCCATCGAGTTGGCAGCCAGGCAAATTTCAGCGATTTCCCGGAGCATTTCGCTGCCACGCTGAAAATTGACACCTAATGCCCACGCAGGAGGAAAACTCTCGCACTCAGTGGCCCATCCTCCTGATGGGTTTTCCTCTGCGGCACTGTATACCCCGACTCCTTGGCCACACGGTCACCTACACAGAGAAAATACATTAAATATGCCAATTAATTAAAATGTCTTGAAGTGCATTGTGAAATACTTATAAATTCATTTTAAAAAACTAATGTTAATATTGTAATTCAGAAATTCGGAATGCAATTAGTTTCAATAGTTTAGGTTCTCTTGCTAACCCTTTCTCCAAATATTTGGAAAGACTTTATATATATATTTTTTAGAGTGCACTAGCTGAATGTTGGCTAAGCGAATGCGCAAGCAATTGACGTAAATAAGAAGCAGCCTGGGCAACGTCAGCGCCACGATGACGACGCCTGTAACCGGAGATGCCGCAGGATGAGGGCCTTGGTGCGGCTTATACATATAAATATATATATATTTTATATATATATATAGCATACGTATGCCTTGGCCACAGCTTGAGCTTTGAAATTGGAAAAAGTTATGCAAATCTGCTGACGACAGGACAGGAAACGAGCGCAATGTGAAGCACAAGAAGTGAATTAGTTTTTATTTTCTTGCTCCCTTTTCTCGGGCTCCTTTCAGCGTGCAATTTATGTGTGACACTGTGAGGGTGTGTGTGTGTGGGCAGGACTTGGCCAGGATCCTGTCTAACTGTCGATTCCTGTGTGCGCAATTATAATAATTGCAATAATAATAACAGCAGCATCTAAGCAACTCTGGTGGCATGCAACGTGACAGCAGGAGACGACAGGGGGTAGTGCCCAGAAAAACCAAGGAGCAGGAGGCAGTACACTGAGGGAAATGAAATTGGAACAACCATTTCAAGAAGTATCACTTGAAGTAAAGGTGATATTAAGGGTAATATTTTGATTACATTTTAAATTTAGATTAGGGCTCATAAACTTTATCTTATTAATTTAGTTTCATATTTTATTTGCATTTCATGGCAATCTCTCGGCCATTCAAACTGCCATATTTTTTCTGACAGTGCCCCAGGAAAAGGCGAATTCCGGCTAGCATCTGTGTGCGTAAATCGCTCCGTTGTTTACCGAGGGCATTAAAGGCTTTGCTGCCGCACGGCTCAAGGCTCAAGGCTGAAGGATTCCGCCGGGCTCACACAACGTGCCTAAATAAATAGCCCGGACATGGCAGGACCGCCCAAAAGAATATCCGGCTGACTCGGGCTCAGGCTCAGGCGCAGGCTTTAAATTTCCCGTCCGTTGTCCTAATTACAATGGCCAACGCTTGGCTGGCTCTGACAGCACTTACCACTCCGCATGATCGCTGCCCTCGACGCACTTAATGCCAATTAAGCGCTAAGCAAGCACCCTTCGCCACCCCTTGGCAGCCCTCGTCAATGTCACCCTCTGCTATTTACATTCCGCTTTGATATTTCGCATTTCATTGATTCGACAGTATTTTGAATACTTTTGATTCTCGCCGGATTACTTCGCCGGATGTCCCTTAATCGGCAATCTGCGTCTGTCTTCCAAGGACGACGACTCGCATTTCCGTTGGCAATATAAATAGTTCTTGTTAATTAGATTTTGTGCCGCCTGTTTATGTCACTAGGATTTCGTTGCCCTGGCAATGTCCGTGGAGGGTCGAACGTGTTCTTGGTATCTCGTTTGTTTTGACAAAAATATATGCAAGTAATTGAAATTCGATAATGAGGTATGCCTAGGAAAGTTTGCCATGACATCGCAGTATTGGATTTATTCTGTCACGCTGCTCGTTACTTTCGTCTTTAATAAGGTA